ACATTAAATCATCTAGAATTATTACTAGATAATCTGCTGATAATCCGATGCTGGTAATCTACAGGTGGTGATCGATACTGTATCGATGTGTTAAGGTGTTACAATATCGATGAATTTAGTGTGGCTATTCGATGGTTTTGATCCATCATTGGTGATTCACATCTCGGGGTTGTAGTTTTTGGCAGTCCGCTGCTGGTGACTCATGGAGTTGGTGATACAACATGTGGTGACTCATGGAGTTGGTAATACAACATGTGGTGACTCATGGAGTTGGTAATACAACACGTGGTGACTCATGGAGTTGGTGATACAACATGTGGTGACTCATGGAGTTGGTGATACAACATGTGGTGATCCTCTGTTGTTGACTCATGGAGTTGGTGATACAACATGTGGTGACTCATGGAGTTGGTGATACAACATGTGGTGATCCTCTGTTGTTGACTCATGGAGTTGGTGATACAACATGTGGTGACTCATGGAGTTAGTGATACAACATATGGTGATCTTCTGTTGGTCCGTAACTTAACTGTCTGTTTGTGGGGGTGGGGGGGGGGCATCATTAGAGGATATTGTGTGGCAAAGGGATATGACAATACAGGTTTAATGACTAGCTAATCACCCGCCTGACCCGTGGACAAAGACAGTAACTGAACTGTCATGTCTGAAACGACAAGATACTGACATAGCTGTCCTATATATTACACCTTACCCACCTTTCGTGGCTATAAAAAGTCATTGACACCGCTGTCCTGTCTATAAAGATAAGATTCAAACAGCTTTACATTATACATTGACCAATATATCGTATATATTACATAATGACTCATGTCTTGTCTATAGCAAGTCAATGACCAAGTTGTTCATTGACTAAGCTCTCCTGTCTATAACCATGCATTGACACAACTGTCCTGTCTATAGCCATTCATTGACTCAACTATCCTGTCTATAACAAATAATTTATTCAGCAATCCTGTCTATAACAAATAATTTATTCAGCAATCCTGTCTATAACAAATAATTTATTCAGCAATCCTGTCTATAACAAATAATTTATTCAGCAATCCTGTCTATAACAAATCATTGACTCGGCTATCCTGTCTATAACAAATCATAGACTCAGCTATCTTGTCTATAATAAATAATTTATTCAGCAATCCTGTCTATAATAAATCATTGACTCGACTATCCTGTCTATAACAAATCATTGACTCTGCTATCCAGTCTCTAATAAGTCATTGACCCCACGACCACTATTGACCCAGCTAGTGAGTCAACATCACGCCAACATCAAGTCCACGGCGCCGCTAGACTCCAACTTTCAGAGCTAAGTCAATAAATTAACACTTTTACCCCGGATGATAAAGAAATTCCCCGTGTCGTTTATTGGTTTGTTTGAAGTCATATAAATCTTCTTCTACTCCGTAGCGTCCGGGGGTGGGAAGGTGAGGGGGGGGGGGGGGGGGGGACATTTAGACTATTTCAAAATATTAATCTTTACTTGAGAGAAACAGTATACTCAATAGTACCTTCCCTCCCCATCCGGTTAGAAGGATAGTAAATTTACTGAAGATTATGTTTCAGCTACTAAGTAAAATACGATACCCCCGAGGTTTTATCACAGTAGGTGGGTGGTTGTGTATTTGTTCTAGGATGGTTGCTCTTTGAGTTGTAGGCCCTTGGAAAGGTCGAATGATTAGTAGTTTTATGAGCTTAGTAGTTGTGAGTTTCAGTTATGAGTTTTTTTTTGTTATGCGATTTTGGGTTTATGGGTTTTTGTAGTTTTTGTTGTTATGAGTTTTTGTTATGAGATTTTCTGTGAGCTTTTGTCATGAGCTTTTGTTACTAGCTTTTTGTTATGAACTATTAAAATGAGTTTTTACGTTATGAGCTGTTGTACTTCATATATGTAATAATAATGTTTTGTGACTTAACATTATGATTTCTTTTTTCGTTTTTCTTTTTTTTTTGGGGGGGGGGGGGGGGTCAATTATTTTCGCGTCGTGCTGTTTTTTATTCCGCGAAACGTCAAGCTTGCCATTACCTTCAAAATGTTGACATTGTTTTGGCTGATATGCGAGAGGTGAACGACAGCAGACAACACGTTTTTGGTAACTAACGACTGGGATGAAAGCCCCCGTGATGTACTAGAGTCTCGTGTCTTAAATCTTTTCTTTTTGGCAGAGCAGGGTAGAACAGTTAGCGAGGAAAAAACAACAACTAAATACACTTCGGTTGCTGAACAATGAATTCGAGTGCGGAATGAAGTTCGCAGGTTGATTTGTTAAGTCTAGTCACTACATGACGTCTTACAATTGTAACTGACGTCAACACTACCTTACTGTCCCCTCCCCGCCCACACCTCCCCATCTCCATCAACTATCAATACAACAGATGTACATACGTACGATACACGTTATGTACAGACTACCATTTTAGCGACAACTTTAGAGTGTTATCTTTGTTCAAGATGACGTCATAATGTCTGTATTTAGCTTTGGCGAGAGTATAAAAGCACAATCCCCATATTCTTTAATAGTTGTCTGTAAACTAATTAATAACACACGCTTATATTAAATTAGTACAACTGCTTACAACATAGCAATATAGGAGTCGTAATATATACTAACTGTCTTTAAAATAATAACACAGCTGCCGTATGTAGTATTATCTGTCTTCTAAATAACATCGTAACCCATATATTTAATACTAGCTCTCTTAAAACTAAAGAGCTAGTGTTATATTCGGATTATGCTGTCTTCAGAATATTCTCGTAGCTGCCACATCTATAACTAGATGTCTTAAAACTTATAACACAGCTGTCGTATGTAGTACTTGTTGTCTTTTAACTAACAACATCAACACCACGTATAGTGCTAACTAACTTCAAAATAAGTCCCACATATAATACTAGTTGCCTTTAACTAACAACAAACTCTACATTTAGTACTAGCTGTCTTCAAAATAACATCGTCATTTACAAATGTAATACTAGCTGCCTTTGAACTAACAACAAAATCTACATTTAGTACTAGCTGTCTTCAAAATAATATCGTCATTTAAAAATTTAATACTAGCTGTCTTTGAACTAACAACAAACTCTACATTTAGTACTAGCTGTCTTCAAAATAACATCGTCATTTAAAAATGTAATACTAGCTGTCTTTGAACTAACAACAAACTCTACATTTAGTACTAGCTGTCTTCAAAATAACATCGTGATTTAAAAATTTAATACTAGCTGTCTTTGAACTAACAACAAACTCTATATTTAGTACTAGCTGTCTTCAAAATAGCATCGTCATTTACAAATTTAATACTAGTTGCCTTTGAACTAACAACATAAACATCACATCTAGATCTAGTGCAAGCTTTAAATTAAAAAACCTAGTGTTAGATTCGGTTCAACCTGTCTGTAAACTACCCACACAAAAGCCTACCTCAGGGGTACCTCTACCTTTGTTAAAGCTGACACCGACCCAACAAAGACGGCGGTGAGCTACAAGAATGGCAGGAATTTCACACGCCATTCGATCCGGCTACATGTCCATCAGACCCCATGTTCCAGTAGACGTGGGTTCGAATCACGCGGGCAATAAGACAAATTGGGGATCGGGTTACCGGCCTTGATGAATGCTACGCGTATAGGAAGACGTGCTATCCAGACAGTTTTAATTGGATTTATGTAAATTAGTTTGTAAACTTTACTTTTGAAATTTTTGTATGGCTCCAATGCTATTTTATTCGCAGCAATCTTCTTTATGAAAAACATTATTTCTTCCCTTTATCTATGAAAAAAAAAACACCAGCAAGACATTTTTTTTTACAAATACCTCAACATAATTATCATGTTTTGCTTTAACAAGACATATGAATGTTTCATTTTTTTTTCTTTTACACAAAAATATCAAAACCACATTTTTACGTGTCTTCGTATATTGTAAAATCACATGTTCATGTTTTTTATTGTGAATTAGTTTTTTCAATTAAAAAATAATTTGTAATTAGTTTTTTTCAATTAAAAAATATTCGTAAAAATGTATTCCAATTTCGGGTTTTTGATGTGATAACATTTTTGTTAATATGAATTCTCATTTTTTTTAAACACATTGTTTTAAATTAATTTTAGCCTGATCCAAAATTTGTTTTCAACAATATGTGAAGACAACATATGTCTGAAAGGATCTTCGTCACGATAAAAAATCTTGGTCGCTGTTATTAGTGTTGTACATAATTCAATACACCCTTGTACACACCGGTGAACACACTGGTACACACACTGGTACACACACTGGTACACACGATTGTAGAGATTCTCGAACACGCTGGTGTACAAATGATGTAACCAATTAATTAAGCTCGTTAAGTATCTCCTCTCAACACAACACAAGCAATGAATGTACTTATTCAATTATTTCATTCGTTAAATAACGATGGGAATTTACTTTTGTTTTGTTAACATGCGCAATTTTAAAACTATAAACTTACTTTAATATCTAGCACACGTTTTAACTATCAATAAACCAAACTGTTAGCTTATAGTGCCATACCTTTAATTCATATTGTGTGAACTTCGTATATACTGATCAATTTATTTATTAAACACCAGCTGTATATACATATATATATATATATATATATATATATATATATATATATATATATATATATATATATATATATAATTAATATAACAGTAGGTAAAGCAAGAAATAAATCAGAGTTATCCTGACCAATGTTTTCGTTCATCGTCATATATAGAGGCGAAGTAAAAGCAAAATGGTTAAGTTTCAAAATAATAATAATAATAATATATATATATATATATATATATATATATATATATATATATATATATATATATATATATATATATATATATATATATATATATATATATATATGTAATGAAGTATTTTTTTCTCGTGTGTCAAAACACCTCGCTACGCCACAGCTGCCCTAACCCCCCCCCCCCCCCCATGTACCCAGTGAGTACTCACGCTCTCTCCGCCCGCCTGCCACGTCAGGTTGACGGTGTCTATCTCCGGGGGGATGACGATGCTCTCGTAGACCTCGGGACTGTTGACGTAGGGGACCACCTCGCCGTTGGTGATCAGGCTGATCTCCATGCCCAGACCTGTAGGCGATCAAAAGTTAAGTGTCAGGTGTGTACAGGTGGTCATGTCAGGTGTGTACAGGTGGTCATGTCAGTTGAGTACAGGTGGTCAAAAGTTAAGTGTCAGGTGTGTACAGGTGTGTACAGGTGATCATGTCAGGTGTGTAAAGGTGTGTACAGGTGATCATGTCAGGTGTCTACAGGTGATCAAAAGTTCCATGTCAGGTGTGTACATGTGTGTACAGGTGATCATGTCAGGTGTGTACAGATGTGTACATGTGTGTACATGTGTGTACAGGTGTGTACAGGTGATCATGTCAGGTGTGTAAAGGTGTGTACAGGTGATCATGTCAGGTGTCTACAGGTGATTATGTCAGGTGTGTACAGGTGTGTACAGGTGATCGTGTCAGGTGTGTACAGGTGATCATGTCAGGTGTGTACAGGTGATTATGTCAGGTGTGTACAGGTGATCATGTCAGGTGTGTACAGGTGATCAAAAGATGCATGTCAGGTGTGTAGAGCAAAGTGTGTGCGAGCGTCGGGTTGTATGTTGGATTTTTTGTTATTTACTCGTTTGCGTTTTTTGAGGCGTGTAGTAGTTTAACAGGAAAGCGTATTTGAACCATGAACGAATAGAGTTATGTATGTGTTAGGCACAAGTATGTTCAAAGGTTTCAGTCCTTTTATGTTTTCACTAGTCCTAGCTGTATGAGTAACATATGCCCAGCTGCGTTAACTTTCCTCAACGTAAGTCAGGCATCCGTTAGAGCTGGGTGGACTCAGGGATGTCCTACAGTCACAAATCCAAACAGAGATCCGAACTAGAGACCTTCGGGCTAACAGCCAAGCGCCCTTCCATTTGACCACTCCGTTCCAGATATATTATTGATATGCATATGCATACATATGTTCGATGTTTACCTGGCTCATGTTAGGGAAAGTAAAAGCGGTTGGGCATAATGCTGACTACACTATCCCTTCCCACACTTAGTCACAGAAACAGGTGGGCTCTATTTCACTTGCCCCATAGACCTTAAAGGATCCTAGCTTTACTTTTACAGATATTTTCAAAGTGTTCAGTCCTTTTTATGATTACCCTAACGCTAGTCCTATCCCCAGGCCTAATCCTGACCCAGACAGTGATCGCTTGCCCTGAACTCAACCCTTATCTTCCACCTCACCCCAACACCGCGATAACCACCGAGGTAAATACCTTGATACCATACCCTGTTGCCCTGGCGACCGTCAAAGAAGCGCCAGGTAGTTTTCTTCAAAGAATATATCACACTTATATCACACAACATGTCAGCCCACGAGTCGTTCAAACAATCTTCACCAAAAAAAAACTCTGCACGGAAACCGACGATTCAACTTGATGTCTTCGTCGTGGTTTACAAACACAAAAAAATCACCATTTGGAAGGGAGATGGGTTTTAAAAAATGGCGTACAGACACAGCAATGTTGAACCTGATATTGATGCCAGGATGGGTGACGTAAGGGAAGGGGGAAATCTCGTATACAGAAACGCGAGATTTGACAGACAGCTTTGTCGGAATCAAAGACAATATAGACAGACAGCTAGGAGAGAACGAGAGACAATAAAGACGAAAAACTCAGACAGAAAGTAAGACAATATAGTAAAACTGTCCATCTCAGGTTATCTATACAACAGGACTGTCCATCTCAGGTTATCTATACAACAGGACTGTCCATCTCAGGTTATCTGGACAACAGGACTGTCCATCCCTGGTTATCTATACAACATGACTGTCCATCTGAGGTTATCTGGACAACAGGGTTGTCCATCTACAGCACGTCAAGTCATGGACTCAAAGATCGACTGTACAAGAATCAGCCGAGCACCGCTATCAATTTAACTCAGCACATTACGTTTAGGTCAGCATTTGGTTCGGATTATATTTACAACCACCTTATTCACGCAGATTTTCCTTTTTCTGTACAAGACAAAGAAATATTTCATGCGATGGAGGTAGCATTCTGAATGCAAGAGACGAAAATAGTTGGACGAGATCACATATAGATACATAGGGCGATAGTAGGGGGGCATGTCCCAAGGTAAGTAGGTAAACAAACAGGCTGACAGGCAAAGTGTCGGGCTGTTCAAAGCCAAGTCGACATGTACCGCTGGCTCAATGTGTGAGGTACATAAATACACATGCGCCGGTAAACAGACACTGACACACACACAAATGCCGGTAAATGCCGGTTCAGACTGGCAAGCAGCCGGTTAACTGTAAACATAAAAACAGTTCAGCTGACGTAGATGTCTATAGAGAAAAATTAAAAAAAAAAATAAAAAATTATATACAAAGAACTACAAAAGAACATAACTAAAGAAGGGCCTATCGAAGTTACGAAAAATATAGAAACCGCGACAAATATAAAAACTGATAAACAAACATTTCTACTTCATAGTGACTTTCGCTAGTCAGATATATCTGTTGAATTTCATTTGGGCATCAAATAAACATACATATTCTTAAAATGCCATATATATATATATATATATATATATATATATATATATATATATATATATATATATATATATATATATATATATATATATATATATATATATATATATATATATATATGGAATCATATCAATAGACTGACATACATATTAAAATAATGATCTATTTAAATTCTACAGACTTATCAAAAATCAAACTGACAGGCAGTCAAACTGGAAAACAGACGGCTCATGAAACAGACCAACCACAGACAAACAGACAAACACAGTGGAATAAATACTCTCAGACAGACAAACTCAGAGGCGTACAGACACACACACACACAGACAGACAGACAGACAAAGGCCCAGAGAAAGATATCACCTCCACTCAAGCCTCTATCACCGCAGCTAATAGACCCCTACACCCGCCGTCCGAACAACCCCCGACCCCTGCTCCTCCACCTCTGCAACCGACCCACTCTGTGATGCAGACCGCCCCTCTTCATATGGAGTTGACTTAATTATTTCCAACGGAAGCGCCCGCTTAAGAAATCTATCGACACAAGGCGCGCTGGTAAGCAACCAATTGTGTAGTTTTAAACTAACTTTAGGATCTGAGACTCGGAGAGGGGAGGTAAGATTTGAAAAAATTGGAAGAAAAAACAGAGAGGGGGAGTAAGTATCACAATCATTTCCGACGAAGAGCAGTCGTCCCGATTTGAAATTAAGTTAGATTTTTTTAGTTGGAAAAAGATGATTAACTTCCCCAAGCTGATTATCCTAATGGGGAAGCGTTTATGTAATCAGTTTAAAAATGTTGCCTGTCGGGAATTTTACTCGGAGAGGAAAAATCGAGATTTAACTAGAAGATACGTAAAAGTGTGTGTAAGTATATATAAATACATAATTACATATATATATATATATATATATATATATATATATATATATATATATATATATATATATATATATATATATATATATATGTATGTTACGGTCAAAGCCCGAAGTGCGGCCAAAGCGCGGATTGGCCGGCCAATGCGCGCATTGGCCGGGATGTCCTGGCACATGTTCTATCTAGACTAAGTTGTGATCGCGTTTTCATTATTCTGGGTGCGGTTTCATTGTGAGTAACGTATTGTTTAGCTCTTGTTTGTATACCATTCTATATGCAAGGCAAAATGGATCAAAAGGGCCGTCAGACCATGAGACATAGCAGATAGCTGCCAAAATATATATATATGTTTGTGTGTGTGTGGGGGGGGGGCGGTGTGGGTGTGTGTGTGTGTGTGTGTGTGTGTACTTATGCGAGTGTGTGTTTGTATCTCTCTCTCTCTCTTTTTTCTCTCTCTCTCTCTCTCTCTCTCTCTCTCTCTCTCTCTCTCTCTCTCTCTCTCTCTCTCTTTCTGACAATTCAATCCAGGTTAGTTTTAGAACTTTTTAAAATTTATTTTTTAGAATACTTAAATTTTCAATTAAAACCAGTAACGACAACGTGTGTGAGTGTATTTGCATGTAATAAAATATATAAAGGATTTACAGTTTCAATTAGGTAAAGGGTAATTTTTTTCCATCATATGCAACGTGAACAATACTAATAAAGTATAGTTTAAGATCTGTATAATTGTTTTTTAGTTTAAATAAACTTGGTGTTGATTTTTATTTATTATTAATAAAATATTAGTTTTGTAAATAATACATTTACAACTCAAAAATGATGTAGATATTGAATGTATTTTTGCAAAACTGTAGCTTTAATTTATTGTTTTATAGCATGTGTTGGTAAATCGAACCCAAAATTATTAGCAGCACTCGAGGCGGATTTACTTCCCCTGCCCTTGCAACATCTTGCAGTCAATGACTTGTATATAAGTGTATCGAACATTGAAAGGTGTGAGAGCTTGACAAAATTAATACCTCTTTAATTAATTGGCTGGTAATAGGCCAAAGTGCTATGTACATTAGGGATTATGTTAAGTGCTTTGTTATGTGATGATTTTTTCAAGCTTTATATACACTTGAGACCAATTTATAGTATTTGGTACTGCAGTAGCACTATGTATAATAGTAATTTATGTATAATTCTGTATACGGTAAGCTTCGAGGATGACTATGTAACTGTTGTGTATAATAGTGGTTATAGTGCCCAATGACCACTGTGGGGTGCCACGTAGTATACCGTCCTGGTGTGACTCAGTGATATAATGTATACATTTCAAGTGTACACTTGCATTAATACTGACTTCTAATATGGTTGATATAATATGTACACTTCCAGTAACACTGATGTAATGAGTACACCTGCAGTAACACTGACTGATAATAATGTGTACACTTGCAGTAACACTGACTGATATAATATGTACACCTGCAGTAACCATGATATAATGTGTACTCTTGCAGTAACATTGACTGATATAATGTGTACACATGCAGTAACACAAATGTGTACACTTGCAGGTACTCAAAACCCTCGACTGAGGGACCCGGGAGTGGCCTCTAGTACAGTTTTACGACACGAGAACCCAACACAGGGCG